GCTCATGTCTTCTGCCATTTCCCGCCATTTTCCTTCTTCTTTATGGTAATGACTATTTTCCAAACTTTTGCCATGATCTCCCTTTTTGCATATATACAAAACTATCCGAGTTTATAGATGTCCTTCTTCATGGTGGACCATATTTATATCATCTGCACTTTGTCCTCTGCTCATGTCTTCTGACATTTTCCTTCATCTTTATGGTAATGACCATTTTCCTAACTTTTGCCATGATCTTCCTTTTGCATATACACTAAAAGTTCTTTAGGAGTTTATAGATGTCCTACTCTTCATGGTGGACCATATTTATATCATCTGCACTTTGTCCTCTGCTCATGTCTTCTGACATTTTCCTTCATCTTTATGGTAATGACCATTTTCCTAACTTTTGTCATGATCTCTCCTTTTTGCATATATACAAAACTTTCTTGAATTATCTTGTTTTCTGTAGAGAGTGTCTCGGAGAGTAACTCCCTCACATGATGGTATAGGACCGCGTGCACTACTTTGAGAGAGAGAGAGAGAGAATATAGTTTTACGGGTTACTAACCAAAGTTTTGAAAAACTCCCCGGTGGGGAATCGAACCCTGGTCGTCCGCGTGACAGGCGGGAATACTAACCACTATACTACTGAGGACTGCAAAGTTCGATTTCATAACATCTACGAGAGGGTTTATGGAATCGGTCGAATTTATCAAACAGGTGTTTAAGATGGTGAAATGGTAATGGCCGATTTTCAGGCAAGAATACACTACTAAACGAATACTTGTAACTATTTTTCTTCAAATAAAAGACACCAGTAAATCTTTTTATTGTTTCGACTTTTTGTTAGAGGTGATCATCTTTATATTAAACTAGCCGAATGACCCGGGCAACGCCCGTGTTTTACCCGACTGTAGATGTTACAACGGTGATCCTTAGGTCGCTGGTTCAAATCCGGCTCGAGGGAGCCGGCGAGCACGTGACCTCCCTGTGCGCGAGCATCCGTGACAGAGGCCGATGAGGAAAGACGGTCGTGACTATATATATAAATGTTAAATACTTTATTATGTGTAAATTATATTGTTTAAAAAATTTGTATTTTTAACTTTAATTGTAAAAAAAAAATTGTAAATTTGTATATGTAAATTCTTGTGCCAGATTAATCAATAATAGAGGATTTGCATATGTCTTGTTAGTTAAAAATAAGATAATAGTTTTGTTTGGCAGAGAAGCTAGATGCTCTCAGGTTAGTTTTTTTTTCTTATTGTAAATATGTTTGTATAATATCTTAAAATTCTCTGCTTTAATTTTATTATATTAAAATAAACATAATTTCTTTATAAAAGTATATTTATTTTTTCCTCTTTGAAAACTTCAAGAATTAATAGAAAATATTAAAAAGGTACCATCTCTATCCTCCTTGCACCCAACACTTTTCGACAAAAGTCCTCGTCAGGAGCAAACAAAAATTAAATCATTTGGCAAAGCGTTAGAAATTATTCTAAGGCTGCAAGGGCATTTTGGTTGAAAACATGAAGTTGATGTTATATTCTTGTCTAAAGATAGAAATATTCAACTAGAATTTCTGGATACGTGAACGTAGGCCTTTCAAGTTTCATTCTAGCATATCCCCAGCTAGCTATTGTATATCCAAACCCAGATATCTGTTATCAAGCATCGATATACTGAATGGTATATTTTAGAAACTTATGGCCTCAATGTTGGATAATAGACAGGTGACCTGGGAAGTAGAGTGGAATTCCGCTGTACAAGGGCGGTCATTGTAGGGCCATTGAACTCGAGATTCTGTTTTAGCTTACGCCCTGACAAGTCTGAAGAGTTTTTCTGAGTACTTCATTTTTTTTACTTCTCTCTCTCCCTTCCCCGTATAATTAAACCAACTTCTTAATTGCGTCGTTATAAACTGACCATATTTGTAGCCAACCTTGTTCCGGACATCTAAACAGGAATAATATGTAAATACGAATAATTCAAACCTACTATGCAAATTGAAATCGATATTTTGGGATGATAGATCTTCACACTTAATATATTAAAGCAGTACACATATATGGAAATATATGTCATCTAACAAGAACACAAATCAAACAAAACATGCATATATATCTAGTATATGCAATAGAGATAATATGCAAATACAGATTTTATTCTCATATATACTATGCAAATTGCGAAAGAGAAACTTACTTCATTCTCCCTTCCCCGTATAATTAAACCAACTTCTTAATTGCGTCGTTATAAACTGACCATGTTTGTAGCCAACCTTGTTCCGGACATCTAAACAGGAATAATATGCAAATACGAATAATTCAAACCTACTATGCAAATTGAAATCGATATTTTGGGATAATTATATTCACACTTAATGCAGTTAAACCTGTCTATAACGCCCCTTTTCGAGACTCACCAAAATAGTGTGCTATAGAGAGGGGGTGCTATAGACAGGTCACTTTTAATGTAAATCGCATCGTACTACGTATTTAAAATCGGGCGCTATAGAGAGGAAGGCGCTATTTAGAGGGGACGATATAGACAGGTTTAACTGTATATTAAAGCAGTACACATATATACTAATATGATTGGTCATTTAAGAAGAACGCAAATCAAGTAAAACATGCATATATGTAGTATATGCAATAGAGATAATATGCAAATACAGATTTTATTCTCATATATACTATGCAAATTGCGAAAGAGAAACTTACTTCTCTCTCTCCCTTCCCCGTATAATTAAACCAACTTTTTAATTGCGTCGTTATAAACTGACCATGTTTATAGTCAACCTTGTTCCGGACATCTAAACAGGAATAATATGCAAATACGAAGAATTCAAACTACTATGCAAATTGAAATCGATATTTTGGGATGATAGATCTTCACACTTAATATATATGAGCATTACACGTATATGGCAATATAAGTCATCTAAGAAGAACACAAATTAAACAAAACATGCATATATCTAGTATATGCAATAAAGATAATATGCAAATACAGATTTTATTCTCATCTATACTATGCAAATTGCAAAAGAGAAATCTATACATTAATGATGATACGCTTCTATTTTGGATCAATTTGAAATCCTACTATATTCTTACGAAGCTTGTTTTTCATATAACATAGCGCGCATATGTTGCTATGTTAATATATTATCGACAATAATAGAAAATCTGTTTCTTATTTATTACAAATTTATTGTTATTATTACTATTATTTCTGTATATACCGTCTTCTACTCGGAGAATATGTATAAGAACAAAAGGTCTTAATAAAGCTTTGTTGTTATTTATTATAAATTCGGTTAGCTTTCAAGCATTAGATCTTCCTCAGTCTTGAGAACAGATGCCTGAGAAAGAATAAGCTCTCGAAAGCTAATCACGAATTTATAAATAAATAAATAGTAAGGGACTGTCCTGTAAGTACGGTGTCGTGAGCCCCGAGCCGCTACGGTAACCGTGAACAGAACACTCTGAAATGTGGCTGACTAACGGGGCAATGACACCCCTCCTTTCCATGGAGTAACAAATGCTCCATGGACAAGACACCACCATAAATAATTAAATAAAAGATGCATATAGAAATTCGACTTTTTACTTTTATTACGTACTTTGTACAAATAACTTTAGATTAAAAATAAAATTTTATAGCTGAAAGTTGATTTTATATATATTAGAACCTCCCTGTAAAGGACAACACCTAATTGCAGAGCCAAAGTGTTCTTTAGGAAGAGATGTCCTCTTACAGGAGAGTTGCTAAATTGTAAAAATGGTAATTTTGCAAATAAAAATTGTCCTTTATAGAGAGGTGTCCTCTAGAGGGGTGTCCGCTAAAGGGAGGTTCTATTGTACTTTGTAATAATAAAGATGTTATAAAAATTGACTTAGTCCTAAGTCAAAATAAAACGACTAAAGAACTGCAGACGATCTGTGCGTAGAACGGAAGTCACAGAGTCATGTTTAATTCAGAAGACCAAATGCCATGGCACATACTCTACATACCTTTGGTTAGCTATGTTCCATGGTGTCAGCTTAACGTGGATATATACATCCGCATATGTGTGAAAATGTACGTACCTTTCTCATAGGTCGAGTTGGTTCAATGTCTGTTGGATGTGCTGATTATGTGGGCTCAATTTTTTTCTACGCAAAAAGAAAAGACAAAAATTATTGGTTATTTTGTGTATCTCTGTATTAGACTAATTGCTTTCCTTGTATTTTTATAGAAATGGTAATAACATTGATATGAATTTATATCTGAAAGTTATATGTAAAATATGAAGAGAAATCTCAATTTTTTTCTAGTATATTATTTGTATATGCTAAGATATTTTAATATATTTGCTCAATCTTTTTCTGACCTTTTTTGCTCTCCTACAGGAGGATTAAGAGATAATTCATTCCATCGTTAAATATATTGTTGAATATAGAGTGTGTATCGATAAATTCGCGGGTTGAGAATGTTGTGCAATTATAAAAGTTGTTTACAATACCTGCCCCACGTGTTGAAAGTTGTTTATGTTTTTGAATTGGTATTTCATTCATAGGAGTCTTTTTTACATCAAACATCACAGAGACAGCCTCAGTTGATGACACAGGAGGTCAAGGAGAGACCTCGGA